TCAGCTCTTTAGGACAATCAGATCTCCCGAGCAAATGCTGAGGAAGGACAACTTGCAACAGGAGGAAATAAAAAGAAACAGGAATCCACGGTGCAGTAAAACAAAAACAGGTCCCTTTTTAAGACTACTACATAAACACCTCTAATAAAAGAAGAGGACAAATTTTCATTGGACTTCAAGTATTTAGACAGGAATGTTTTAGTAAAAGTTTAACTGCAAAGTGCAGGCAATTAACAGAAAGCCATCAGCTATTTCTCTGGTATGTAAAAATAGCATTAAGCTGTATTAAATGCACGTGTAAGTATCTCAGTTGCAAGAAAAGGGAGGAGATATGCAAAGCGCTCAGATATCAAACAATGATCTGTTGGCCAGATGGAGGAATAAAACAATACATATGCTAAAATTTGGAAAAGTTCTGTTAGGCGTCTGCCAAGGCTCACCCAATCTATTTTAAGTGCTTTTTGATACATTAGCTTAGTGTTCGGAGTTGTACAACCGATGGTTATTACACGGGACCAGAAAGCGGTGCAGCGTGGGCGTGCGGGAGCTCCCCGACGCCGGGGCAGCTTCCCGAGGACGGCAAGGAGTCAAACACAGCACCCTCATTCAGCAAAGGGCCACAGCACGTAATCACACACCGGTTACATCTGCATCTTTTGTAGAGAAAAAACCAAATAAAATAAGCTAGAAACAATTCTTTGAAAAGCATAATTCGATTAAAGAGCTCCTGGGCAGACTGAGGAGCAAGCAGTATAATGTATATATGTGTATATACATAGATGTATGTACAACTAATTTAGCAGAAGGTCTCTCAAAAGCGTGAGTGCCGCGGCAGACGGTAGGCGCAGGCAACGCAAAGGACGCTACACACCCGAATCTGAAAAGCACTAACAATAAGAAGTGCCTGATAAGGCTTAAAACCGAAGATTAGCAACTCCAGCTCTGAGTCACGGCTGGTATTTTTTTCAAAGCCGATTACACGGAGAAGTGACTCAGACGGGGAGAGCACACAGGAACCGCTGGCGATTTCTTTGGCGGGGGAGCGGGCGCCGGGGACCGGGGTGCTTCGGGTTGTATCCGCACAGAGTAAATGCGGACGGCCAGGCCAGCTCCCCGCTCCGGCTGTCGCGGCGTCACCGTCACTGAACAGCCCAGCCGGCCTCGCAGCCATCACACCCGTACTAGGTGCAAGGAGGAGAAACAACAGCAGCCATGCAGAGAGCGGGGTGGTTTACGGACCACGCGGCTGGGCTCGAGTCGCGGATCCAACCCGGCTCCGCAGCGAGGAAGCTGCATGGGGACACCTGAGCTGCTCGGACCGTGGGTGACAACGTAAGGGTCACGATGAGTTCTGCGTACATGGAGCAGCTGAGTACCTTGGGGGAGGAGAGGCCCGAGGAACACCGATTTCTTAAGGGGTAATGGATTTGAGGTAATCTAATCCAACACAACTCTGCTGATGGTAAAGTGTAACGAGCTAAAATCAACTGCACGGAGCAACTGAGGGGAGTCGACATGGATGAACAGACTCGATGCTGGCATCAGTGCAGAACGAATGCCAGGGACTACGGGGAGAGGCAGGCCAAGAGAGGATCAGGCCCTGGGAGCATATGGACTGCAGGCTGAACTGTTTCATCCCAAGCATTAATAATGGACCGAAGTCTGTAATTCTTAATTGTGCTGAATCCTAATGCCCTCATCTAAGGGCCTTGGGATTTTGATGGAGGATCAGCTGGCATGGAAGATAACAACAGCAGAACACAATGCGTTAAGCCTACCCAGCAGATCAGTGGTCTGCTATGCCGTTCCTCTCGCTTCCCTTCAGAGCATTCTCCAGACTCCTTCCTCCCACGATGCAAGAAAAAGTCATTTAAAAAAACCCCTTGTTTATCCCAACTATTTTCCTATGAGATGGCTGCTTGCTTATGTGGAAGGACAAGACTCGAGCATAGCTGGAAGGGCTAGGAAGACAGTAAGGGACAAATGTGGGATTACTGGCAGATGGAGAAAGGTCTCTTGGACATGCAGCCTCTACCTCCAACTCTTCATCTTACCCCTTGCAAACAGATGCGTCTCCCAAGCTACCAGCTCTGCACCTTCATGAGCTCACTTGTTTACGTACAACCTCCATCATCCTGTCGCTGCTGCAGTCGGTGCAGAACGTGCCGGGGGACGGGACGGGCACACAGGCGCCCGCACCACTCCCCAGCACCCCCACAGCTCCCAGTTCAAGCCCCAGCCAGAGCAACCCCCGCCCAGCCCAAAGCGCTGATGAATTCCGCGCCGTTCTGCTTCTCCAAACCTACCCACGCCAGGAACGTTCCCAAGCACGTAGCTTTCGGGACGCCTGCTGCTCGTCAGCTTATAGTTAGTAGTCACCTAAAGCGACTGGGCATCCACCCGCTTTGTTTTGCTGCTTTTCTGAAGAAAATGATCAAGCTTTCCCCAAATAAGATGCAGCGGAACGAGGTGGAAAGCGGGTACTGTCCTTGACATTTTTAAGCACAGCAGATGCACTTAACTGGCTCCCGTTATTTATTTATTTACTTGTGTAGAGAAAATGCTTGTTACTGAAGAAACCCAAAAGATGAGAGGTTTGCATGCTGGTTGATGGTCTCACTTTTGCTTATCCTGAGTGAATACAAGTATCTATAACTAAATATTTCCCTTAGGGTACTGATGACTGAGGTATGTTTATTGCATTGAGTGAATTTATATATATAATCAGCACAATAAACATTATTAAATTGTCTGAGTAAAATCAAAGCATGAAACACACAGTCAGTGCTGAATTCTAATGATGCTGAATGCCCATGATTGCACGGGGAAAGGATCTTAACAAGCCTTGATTTGAGCTTTGGCATCCGCCTCACAAATCACACGAAATGTTCTCTCTTTAATAGTGCTGAATATTGATAAATGTCTCTGCACGGCACAACAGGGAAGTTGGTCTCTATTGGCAATCTTTACCAAAGTGTGTTTTTTCCCTCTCTACACTCAAGGGTTTACCCTGAATGATTTAATTATAATTTTCCTTGTGTAAGACAAATTAAAGAGGAGAGTAGGAGTGTCATGCCAAAGCAGATTATTTATCTCCTTAACAGATTGCTGTGCACCAAACCCCAGAGCTGCTGCTGCTGCTGCTACTTACAGAAACCGGGCAAAATGTGGGACAAAAGCATAAATGTAATATACATTTAAAGCCCAAATGAATGAAAGCATTAACCCATTATTTACAGCTGGAATTGTTTCATTCCTGTGAAAGCCATACACACGGAGCACGCAGAAACCAAGAGCAGCACCACGATGCTCCCTGGCCCCTGCCCAGGTGTGTTTTTTTGAAGGTATTTTTGCTTTTTAAACACCCTGGGGCAACTCTGGCCACCCACCTGCCATTTGTTTTTTTTATCATAAAGGGGAACTTTTGTTGTCGCTCGGCTCCGAGCATGGCAGCCCCACGCAGCCGCAGCGCGGCCGGTGTCACCGGTCACACCAGAGCTGCATGCCCGCAGCCTGCGCAGGACTAAAGCTTCGCTGTGCACGACCATGAGGCTGGGCTCGCAGCACAGCGATGCGTGGGCATGCCAAGCAGCCAATGACTATTTTTCCTGCTATTCTAACCCCCTTGTTTATAACCAAAATGTGTTTTTACCCAAGGTGTATAGCAGAGCCGCGGCTCTCGCGGTGGCTTTTACGCAGGTGCCTCAGCTGCTGCTGCGGTCAGCCAAGTGCCTCCCATCTCGCAGGTCTAGAGCAGCCTCACAACCTGACCTGTGGGACCAGGAACCCCGTAAAACACAGCCTGAAGTATCTTAGTGACATGTGCCAGAGATCACAGTGATGACAGGAGCTCCCACATAACCAACTTGCCTCCTGCAACCCACTCCTCAAAAGCCCAAGGCAGGGGGAAAACAGCTTTACAGCGCACCCTAAAAGTTCATGTTACCTGTGTATGATTATTTATTGCTGCTGGGCAGTTGTTATGATGTGGCTGTGCTTAACTGTTAGGACACTTGCAGCTTTTACTATGTGCTTTTTATTGTTGTTGAAATCTAAACAAATAGCTCTTGCTCGTCTCGGACCAAAGCTAACAGCCAGCTGCACGGATGGTACAGGAATGAGAGGGAGGAAGAAGCCACAACCCAAAAAGCTGCCCCGGCCAGCCCAAGCTGTGGACTTGTGTGATAGGAGGTAAGGGCTCATACCTATCTCCCTTGTGAGCCCTTCCGACAGCCCCATCTGACCCAAGCTTGGGCTAGGGACCATCTCCATAAGCCCCCTTGTATCGGCAAGCTCAGTAGTTGTGCTGAACCAGCTGGGTACCAGAACGTGCATGGATTTCACTGGAAGTCTAGCAAACTCATGCTCCCACCAGACCCATGACCTTTTCTAGTCTTAACCTTTGCAACCAAAAAATTACCAAAACCCTGCTCATGCCTGTGCTCTCTCTTTTGTAAGTATGCTAAAACTTCACCTTCTGTGAGCTTTCAAATATACAACTGACAGCAGAGCACGGCTACTCTTTCCTCACTGCTCGCTCATCGCCCTGAACGCCTTGCCCGTAGATAGATCTGCCTTCCCTTTCAGAAAGGAAACCAGCACAACACATCTCAACAAGAGGAGTTTGTGTGTCACATGAAATCCAGGCAGGCACCACGGTGCCTGATGAGACTGCAACAAAACCCTTAAGTGCATCAGTAGGCATTCTTCTGTGTGTCGTCTCCTGCTCTACTTATGGATAAAGATGTAATTCAATCACTGCAGCAAATGGATGGCGTAAACCTTCAATGTACCAAATAGAGGCAAGATAAAGCAAAGTCTGTAGCTCTCTTATTTGTATGCCTGAATATACCTATTTTTGTATTTTAATATTGTTAGAGTACTCAATAGATGTGTAAGGAAAGTCTTATGGCAAGCTTTAACAATACAGTTATAAATGGAACCACTGAGGATTTCAAGTCTTCTAAACTAAGACAATCTCAAAATTACCATGGCACGTTTATGCCTTCCTAATTAATTTATTTGGAACTTGACTAATAAAAACATACGTATCACTGTGTTTGTAGATCCCAGTTGCCTCCAGGCCACAACTGCAGGACTCAAGACACATGGATTTCCAGTTCTGCTTGACAGTATACGCGGAGCAAATTCTTACTTCAGAACAGATTCCTGTATTTCCACTGCATTTCAGATTAAACAGCAATGGCATACTGTTTCCTGGTTAGATTGCCATTAGCAGACAGCACATGCCTCTGTTCAGTGAAAGAGGATCCATTTCACGGCATGGGTTTTTGTTTTATATACTCGGTAAGAAAAACATAGATAAAAAATTTATTGAAAAGTCATAAACCCATCTTGTTCAGCTCTATATGCAGCAAAAAGGGAATTTAATTGTTTAATAAACATCAAATTGTTTTTAGTATCCCATGTAAGTCTTCATGAAAACCACGTCCTTGACACTTACATGCATTATAAACGTATACGGTGATGTTCCCCCACATGTCCTTGCAATGGATATAAAACGATGCCTTACACACACAGCAGTTCTTTCAACAGTGGCTGTGCTCTCCTTTAAAATCGATCTATTCCCAACAGCACTATTTTCTTAATATTAGAAAGATATAAGAGGTATTTATATAGCTTCCCTATCAATCTACTTTCAGACCACCAGAAATATAAACTCTATGGCTTAAAAATTCCATTATCCTCTTTCTAATGAATGAAAGGAGGATGGAAAGACAAAGCCATCAGTTTCCATAAAATCCAGCTTTCACTAGTGTCTGCTGTAACATTTCTAGATGGGCAAAGGGACTCTCCTGAATGCAAAGAAGCACTGCCCTCCCCGGTGCGCCCACGCTGCTCGCGCGCTCCCAGAGACCCTTCTCCTCTTCCTCCTCCTCCTCTGCCGCCGGCAACGACGCCAAGGCTGCAGCAGGCACCGGCACCCATGGCCCGAGCTCCTGGGACCGTCTATCTCACTATAGGCAAAGTTATGTTGTTAGACACGCCTCAGTGAAATCCGGGGGTGTAAAGAAACAAACCTGCAATAAAACATCCTTTGGAATAAAGCAGAGCCCGCGCCGAGAAGCTCGTCAACAGACAACCCCTGATTTAAGCCATTCCTTTTAACAATGCAAGCCTAGCAAGTATAAATTAACTCACAGTTCTAAAAGCCAAACACCACCAGTTAGCTAATTTTATCAGCACTTAAAAAAAACCCACTTTGTTTTAGAGAAACGTGGTGAACTCAAGCCTATCCTGTCTCGTGAAAGCAGGTAAATACAGAGTAAAAAAGGCAAAAGTGTTTGATGAGGTGGGGCACTGAAATGGGGGACAAAACCGGGTGGTAAAACAGCCTGTGTTGACCAACATTTTTTTCCCCCGCCTCCAGCCCGCAAACCCGAAGCACGTCAAGAGCAACACTACCTGAGATGCAGAACTCAAAAAACCAGCTTACACCCTTCACACCTCCCCCAGTACGCTTGTCCAATGCACTTCTAATTAGCTAATTGTGCCCACATTGATCCAATTAACCAGCCATTAAAGATCTGAACAAAAGGAGCATATTCTGCCCAATGGAGACCCCATTCAACCACGCCAAAACCAGACAGAGCAAGACGTGAGGACAAAACCGAGGCCAAGGCAGTTGGCCACCGCTCCCAACAACTTCGCCATCGTCTCGGCACGCTGCTCGGGGACGCTCAGGGACGGAAACCCCGCCGGCACCTACCTCTCCCGTTTAGGAGTGTGGACCGATAGCTGGCCGTTCGTTGAGGCGTGCGGGTTGATGATTAAGGAGGTCTTAGACGGCGCGGAGGAGGAGACGCAGGTGGTGGACAGGTCCAGGCTGCTGTGGTTGTTGCTGGCTGCCTCCTCCGCTGTGTGCGAGCTTGTCACTTCCTTCCAGAGCTGCTGCAGTTCTGTTGGAATCATGCCTGAAACAAACAAATTGGATAATTAAATCAATTAACAGCTAATTCGGCCGTCTTCAAACAGTAATTAAATCAAAGAGTCAGTAAACAAAGCCTAGTGTTAGTTTTGTGTGTGTGTGTGTTTCTGCGCACATTTTTTTTCTTCATAACTGAAGGCTAATACCGAACACTGCACGTCTCTGCTAAATTTCTGCTGTGACCCCTGCAATACCTTTGTAAGGCAATTTCCAGGGTGTGGGGCAGGGGGCCCACACAACAGGACACCCACCCCAAACACCGTATTAATTATTATTATTTTTTGTAATTTTTAGACCAGAGGGTCCATTTCCAGAATCCCTACTCAGGCAGAAATCGGCCAGAGCTCACACCACAGCTGATGGCAAAGGTGGCCAAGGGCTACTCTGCAGCCAGCTGGAGAAATTCAATTTTTAATTTTTTTTTTTTTTTTAAAGGAAAGTAAATACTTTCTAACCTGTTTTTAAAAGAAAGTCTTAGGAAAAAAAAATACTCAGCTTTATTATTATGACAACACGAACCACAATATGACTAATTTTGTACTTAAGTTTTAAATGATGACAAATAGCTTTGTTATTAAATACAGTTTTTATTAATCACTTTTAGACATAAATTATGAATTCATATTGTCTTCCTGAAATGCTTTTCAAATTTTAACAGTCAAATTGATTATACTATGATTATTTCATTAACACACCTATCTTTCTCATTAATTTTGGTTTCTCAAACTGCTCACTTAATTGATGGATGTGTCTACTGAAAAACTGTATAACTTTCTATACAAGTAACACTATTATTACTGTCATTTCGTAGATCGATGCTAATGAGCCATTCAACAGTAAAATGAAAACATAAAATAAGCTTCAAGAAATAATAATAAAAAAAATTTTAACTTGTGCCAAAATGGACACCAGGCTTAGGACATCGCATTCCATAAATAAGGCAAGTGAAAACTTGGTAAACTCCAGTGGGCCAACTCGAAGGCTGGAAGGGGAGCCGCGCACATCAGCGTGACACGGGCTCAGCTGAGATCATGCTTTTGGACAAAGCTTGTGTTTGTGACACGATCAAACAAGTCAAGTCGCTCTCATCGAAGACTCTTTCAGTGCTCTTTCAGAGAAGGCCATGGGAAAAAATTAGCAGTAGGGACGCATCGCTTAAATATTCAGGGGAAAAAATAATAAAAGCCAGTGTCTGTGTGTTTTTGAAGAGGTTTCTCGTCACTGCGCTTCCAGACCATCATTTGGATGACTGTTCATTGTTTCAGCGTATTGTAGCACTGGAGCTACCCTAAGGAAACCTGCCATTTTCTGAGCGTACAGCAGCAGCTCACACAGGCATGTATCTCACCAAACCTAAGGTATTGAAATAAATAAAAAAAAAAAAAAAAGGCAGTATGCATTATATTCATTTGAAACACATAATAAAAAATGCCAAGGTCTAAATTTAATTTATTTTTGTCATTTAGAATACAATGGATAGATAATCATCTCAACGTGATCAGCCAAACATCTTTACTTTGCTAAACTGTTAAAGATTTTAATTATGCCAGCTTTGGAGAGCACTGGTCTAATGAGGCGATAGACTCCAGAGAATCTAAGTGGTTAAGAACTGTGAAATGAGTCTGATAGGATTTTTTTATATTCACCGTGGATCGTTTGCATATCAAAGAGGAGTAAATTATTGCACGACAGACCAATAACCTTCCCCGCCTTTCCGAGAGTAGCATTAACAAAAACAGTTGGTCTCCGGTAACGGTTCACTACAAAAAATGCTGAAATCCTTAAGTATCTGCAATTAATATATATTATGGAAGAGGCTTCAATTTATACATTAAGTGATCAGACAGTCTTAGGACACATCCATTCCTCTAAAGCCATGTCATTTTCCTTTCATCAGACCCAAATGCCAATTATATTTTGATGGATTTTGTCCCAAATGAGCATTTAGTTATTAGACATATTCAATTATTACTTGTCCCCTGAAATTAAACCTCTGAGCAAATTAAACAAAGAAAAAGGTCAGTACACAAGCCTATGTCCTGTTTTACCGTATCGGGGCTATTATTTTCAAACACCTTGCGAAGTGACAGTGTGGGATGTATTTTTAGCTAACACGCCTGACAGGCCTGTCTGCGCACTAACAATTACCTGTGAGCGCGGCTGACCCTTACACCGCTGTTTACTCAGTGGAAACAATAGTGAATAGACTTGTCTGTTGATGATAACGTATTGATATGAGTCCCTATGAGTCGACACCTATTTTTATTTTCCAGAATAAGCAAATAGGCAAAGAATAACTGTCTTTTTTTCTTTTTTTTTTTTTTGCCACCAGCCCTTTATCTGGATTTCTGCAGGATTTTAATTGGAGACAGGTCCTCTCCCTGTCCCCCTTTCTCCTCTCCTCCCAGTCACTTCTGGATCTACTAATGCTTTAGCCCAAAGAAAAGCTTGCAAGCGTCACGGCCGTTAAAATGTATGGACACATAATAGTTACACCTCGCCGTAGATCCTCTAGAAGTCAAGGGGTTTGGTCTAACTTCCTACACAAGTGTAACTCACATTAGCATTAACAACAACTATACCACTTATTGAAAGAAAAATAAAAAAACACCCAGTTGTGCGTGGGAAAAATGCTGGAGATAGTAAGGGGGATTTCAGGCTGGGTGACAATAAATCAAAGAGTTAACTGTGATGTCATACACGTCTGCACGCAACCCATCCCTTACAAATGAATGACTACATCACTGATTAGTAAAATAAAATTTTTAAAGAGCCTCTCTCCTCCTTCCCCAAATTTAGTTCTTTTAGGAATTCTCTCCAGAATTATTCCAACTAGCCTGTCAAACTGGGCGGCTGAAAGGTACACTCATCACTCATCCGGCAAAATGGTTAAGTAAAATAATAGAACAAATGGTAAAAGCAAGTCAAATAGACCCACGAACACTGGCAATAAATTATGTAATTTACCATTTAACAGTTTCATTTTAACAGCGAGAGCTAATTTTTAAGTCAGATTCCCAGAACTGCGCTGCAATTACCCAAGATCGCTAGTGCCAGTGCTGCAACTTTGTACGTACCAGTAACGCGATTTAGACCCGAAACTGCCAAATCTGCGGGAGCAATCCGGCACCCGGGTCTCTCGGTCCTATTATTTTCACTCGCTGGTGATCTGAAGTGTGATTTGCAGTTTCATTTTGCAGATACTAAAGATCTAGCTCTCGCAGCTCAGAACACTGCTGAAATGTGGTTTATTTTAAAACTGCTACTATGTACAGATGTAAAATCTAGATTATAGATGCGTCTAAACACAAAGCAGCAAAGATTACACAAATATAACATTAAAGGGTGTGCTATTTTGTGTTAGACAATAGGCGAGCACTAAAAACTGAAATGGAACTGAAATACAGCTTTAAACATTGTATTAGTTATAAAAACATAACAAAAAAATCACTTATGAAGTAGCATTCTCTCCTTAGAAACATTTATTACTATTACAGATACTTAAGAATAAAAGCAAAATGCTTTTCATCAAATTCATAGCTACATTTACTAGAGGATGATTTTTTAATATTTTTTTTACATGCATTTACAGTATTTGTCTCGGTCTTGCAAACTGTTCTGAGAACAAAAGGGTATGATCTATGTAATTATTTTTTTTTTAAATAAGAAGTGTCCATTACCAATTATTTTAAACTACAGCCCAGGTTCTTCATTGCATTTTTCAGGACAACTAGTCCCCTTCATTATGAAAGAAAATGTAGGCGCGGGTTTAAAAAATGTATGTTGTGGGGACAGTTGACAGATTACTGCTCACGGAACTCAATTTCCCAACCCCAGGTATCACCGGCTCAAAGACAAACAGAGTTGCTCAACCTCTTTGTGTCCTTGTACCTCCATACCCAGGTGACCATGTTCAAGCAAGCAGAAAGTTGATTTAAACCTCATAATGACATCAGTTTTAAGCCATCGTCTCTCTGATAAAAAAGAATAAAATATCGTGCTGTATTGCAACCTGCCTGAAATCTCAAGTTACTCTTTCCTCCCGCCGCCGAGCCCCTGCTCCAGCCACCCCAGCACTCGCAGCTCATTTCCCTGCAAGAACCAGCCCTTTCTGCTTATGTTTATGTCGTCTCCGGCGTGCAAGTCAGCACCCCTTAGGTTTTAAATACACTTCTTGGCGAGGACTAATAGTTACACTACCCTGCTAACCATATCAATCAATGCCACGACTGCTGAATTACCTACTGGTGTCTCCGATGTGTTACCGCACAGATTACACTTCATGCATCACCACATTCATTTCTTTCACATTACACATGAGCGTGTCTTGTCACTGCCCAATTGCCCTCCTTTGGACAGCTTAACTGATGTACTATACCATGAACCTTACCGAGCAAACTTAATAGTATAGGAGCTGTGGGAAAAATTAGAAAGGTTGAAGCTTGAGTCCGGTGGGTGTGTGGGAACAGCCTGGGATGCTTCCAACAATAAATCTGAAGCGTAATTAACGCACGTTACAACGTTTGGCAAATATAAACGGCATTTTGTCTACGGGCCCTTTCTCCTGGACTTGTTTCATGCCTTCTCCCCATCACACCGCGGTGACTGACCAACTACCACCCCATGCACCCCACCCACTGCAGCTCCCGACCTGGCACCACCTTCCCGTGCATCAGCCTCCGAGTCAGGCACAGGGCTAGTCTAGACCAGGTGCCCAGCTCCGAGACGCTGGAAAGCTAAACAGAGTCTCGTAGAGGGAGGTGTCAGGTCCCCAAAAGCTCAGCCTCTCGAGGCAGGAGTTAGGCACTCAAATACCTTTGCGGGTCTGGCAAAAGCAAGCCTAAATAAACCACGCCAGCCACTCGGCAAAGCAGACCCCACTCCGCAGTTTTGTCTCCCTTTATCCATATAATATTCACCAGCCACCTCGCTCGCCTTTTGCGGCTACACACAAAAAACGAGGGAGAAGAACAAGAAGCAATTTTGTCCCGCGTCCCCCTTTAACTGAATAGAGCTGAATGTAAACTCATTATATGGTTTAGCAACTAGTAGCAGCCCTGAGGCTGCTCCGAAGAGCCCAAATCATTCAACCCGAGCTGACTCAAGCTGTTGAGGTGGATGTTTAAATTTATGATGGGGCAAGGGAAGGAAAAGGCATGATTATTCAGAAATACCAGCATCATGGTTGAAAGACCTAGTCTTCCCTGAGCCATGACAACTCTGAACAGCCTGCCTTAATCACAGCAGGCAGAGCTCGGGCGAGTCTGTTAAGATGTCCCAAGGCTTGCAGACAAACCCAGTTTAAAAAAAAATAAATTAAAATATTCAAGCCAAGGAGGAGAAGAGAGACTAAAAACCCCAAGTTGTAGTGACTATCAAAAGTATTGTGATTTAAGCAGTTATTGCCTTCAATGTATCAATATCTTAAAGAAGTAAGTAAATAAAGGGATTTCAACAAAGCAGGAACTTTGCAGAGTGCAGGACTGAATAAAGGTGTAGGAGGATCTAATAGTCAATAACACCATTAAAATTAAATGGAGTTAATCTCAGTTTGCCACAGTGTGGAGGGAGGAATGAAGCTATGATGCACACAGGCAGTGAAATGAAGGCTGTGTAAACAGGCGTGGAGAGGAGACACTGCCACCTCTCCCTCGCAGCTCCAGCAAAGGGCAATCAAATTTCTGCCGTTCCGCAGCGTGCGGATCAGAGCTCCTCTGCACCCGGCTGCAGCCAGGAAGGGCCCAAATAACACATTTGAAAAAGGAAAAGCTGCTCTCGCACTACCCTTAGCCAGGAACCCAGCACCGAGAATCGATCAAGATGCCTCCTGTGAAGGATTTCAAGCCCAGGTGAGTACAACCAGCAGCTTCCCGTCTGCCAGACCGGCGATAGCTGTGCAAACTGAATCCCAACTCCAAACCGCCCGCCTCCCGCTAGCCAGAGCGGTCCACGATTTCAGCGTTCCTCTTCTCAAAAAAAGATCCGCATAATGCCCGCCCCGCCTGTCAAGGTTTTTCTGCGTTTATTATTTTATGAGCCTATGAGGTCTCTCTATGAGGTTGTCTCTCTCTTCCTGAGCGACAACCCTGCGTGCGTGCGTGCTACCGCTTCGCCAGAGCCGGCCGCTCCCAAGCCCCTCACCTACCTTGTGCAAGGGGCTGCAAAGGCAGAGTAGGCTGGCCGGGCTGGATGGTCAGCAGCCCCTGACGCTGCAGAGACAGGAGGTGCTGCTGCTGCAACTGCTGCATCTGTAAGAGCTGCTGCTGAAAGGCCAGCTGCTGCGTAGCCACCTGCTGTTGCTGGGGCTGGAAAACAAAAATAAAAATGCACGTTCGTCAGTACAGAGCAAAGCATTAACGGAGGGCTTAGAGGGCTCCTTGTCTCAACACACTTCAAGTTCTGATCGCAGTCACCAGGCACCAAGGCAAGCTCGCGAGCCCACCGCCCCGTATCAAAGACCCCAAGGCACGCTTAGGTGCCAGAGCTAACCACGGGGCTGCAGTCGATTCCCACCTCCAGAAGTTACTTTCATCCTACCTAAATCCCCCTGCAATCCCAACTAAAAATGTAAGCAGCGTTTCTTGGTCCACGCTACCGCGTCAGCCTGGTCCACGTTGGTTGTGTTTTACCCCAGAAGTGGCTGCATTTCAGCGGTGGGGAAAGCAACGCTGCTGGCAGCTCTTGAAAGTCTTGGGTCATTCTTGGAGGCAAAGAACACGTACAACGCGAGAATCACACCACACGATCACATCACACTTAAGACGTAATGAGAGACAACCCTGCGCTGTGCTCTGTTTGCTCATGCAAGGGTTGTCTCAGCTATTAAGGCAATAGGACTGGCTTAATTTATGGTATCTTATACTTAGTCTCTCTTATTCATCCATTGAGCCCCACGATGCTTTCTGTTACGTTCGGAATTATTCTGCGCTGTATTTAAGGCCGCTACTTCTGCACTTTGAAATTTTTAATTATTCTCACTAGAAAGAAGATGGAGTTGCTTTACTCCGCAGGGATGTGAACCTTGAACCTTCGAGGTGTAAAAGAACATGTTGCTTTTCTCACTACTGTACCCGAAGAAGCTTTTAACTACTCTGTTTATCACTTCTGACATAAATAAATGAGAAAAAATCAGACCTTTGAAGAAGAAAAACTTCATCTAATATTGTTAATTAGCCATGACAAACGATGAAATAACATTGTAAATCTTTCATAGAAACAGCCACTAGATTTTAATTACACACATTCATAATTTAGCAAACAACATCTTACTTGAATGTGAGTGTTTAATATGTACAGTACTCCAGGCTTCAGAGTCCTTAATTTTGTTCAGTTAAAGAAGCCTCTAGGTTTTGCTTCCGTGCTCATCTTGTATTTTATTTGCTTTGTTCTTTAAAATCCATGAAAGGCTTTGCATTTTGATAAATATCTTTTTATTTATTGTACAATGACAGGAGGAAAACTTTTGTTGTGTAAAACATCAATACATCATGCCAGTGTTTAGCAGTTCCTTGTGCTAGCCAAAAAAAATTAATGTAGATTTCCTTAGTAATTATCTGAGTGATAGAAAGATAATACAGTGCAGTAGTACAATAAATAGAAGGAAATTATCTAATATCCCTAATCTGCTAGGAATCATATCAAGGTGGAGGTCTTATACACATTATGTCTAACAATTATGGAAAGAAAATTAACTCTTTACAAAACTACACACTTTCACAAACAAACCCCAGCCAGATCCCAAGCTTTTTGTCGCCCTTCCTTGACACCGAGCCAGAGGATCACTGGCCCCACTCCCTGCTGGTGTCAAGCTGGGAAAAAAATCCACCCGAGCCGCAGGAGCGGGACTGGTGACACCAGCCAAGGGTTTGGCCTCCGCCCGCTTGTACCACCATGCCCCATCGACCTTAATACCACAACCGACTGTACAGCCACGACTGTCCTGACAGGAAAGTTAATTTATCTTCTTTCCAAAGAAAATCTAGGACTTTGAGAACACAGTTAAGCAAATAGGTGTTTAGATATTCTGAAACCCAGAGAGTTTGCATTTCTTTGCAGCAGCTTGCTCAGACAGATCTGCTTGCTCAACTACTTGCAACAGCACCAGATGAATGCAAGACCCAGCAACAGTTATATTAAGAGTTAAAGTAACCTTTGCCTCCATAAATATTCATTTTCTAAATATATATACACTTAACATATATTTTAAAATATACAATAAATGGCATTACATAAAAATCTAGTTACAGTAAGCTCTATTTTACCTATTTGCCATCCGAGTGTAAAGTTAGCGGTTTTTTTAAAACTCTTTATATAAATTGACTGATGCCAGTTTGGTTGTCTTCTCAGCTATCCTAAGAAAAGCTCTTGAACGCTCTCTACTTTGAAAAGCCAGGATATAAAAGTATACAAGGCCCATTGTCCAAGAAAGAATTTAAAAGCAAGACACGTTGCCAAACTGCGCTCCCCACCCAGTTACCAAACACAGGATACAAGGCAGTTTGTTTACTTCTCACAATTGAATGCATACAAAAAAGGTCTCAGTGCAGTCCTGTTGTCAGGTCAGTAGTCAGTGTTAAAATGCTGAAATATCCTGATAAAACTTGCATTTTTGATCCCCTCCCTAAAGCTTCTGTCAAAGGTCTGTTTTCCTTTCTTAGGTTACTCCCTACTGCCTAACATAAACTGTCACAACTGCCGGAGGACAAACGGCCCTTTTTGGAGAGCAACCGGCTCCGTCCAGCGGCACGGCACCAAGCGGGGTCCTTCTCTAGACCCCCCTTGCCTCGGGGAGCCCCGACTTTGCCGAGGCAGAGGCGGCCGCACAGCCCTCGAGTAAAACCCACCAGAAACCTCACCGGGGTGCGTCCGTTATCCTGCTTGGGGGTCAGATCCCTTTTACCAGCGGGGCTCGGGAGCTTTGTTGTGTTTTTCTTCTTTCACGATGGTACAACAGCACAAGGCACTAACAAAATGCCTTGGGGGATGCAGCACATGAACACGCTTGTTCCATCTGCCGAGGTAGGAACTCGGCCCTCGGTAGCCCGGCGGCTGCTGGTCCCCGCCACGGCACCGCTCGCCACGTGACCATGAAAACATCAGTTTTTAGTACGAGGCGGGGGGGAGAAAAGAAAAAAGAAAAAAAAAAAAAAGAAAACAAACCACCGCTCGCATGCTAATGTAGCAAGAATAACCTCCGTAAGGCAGGAAAAACGGGGCAGAACAAACCTGGGGGATGAAATGCATCGCTGAAACTGGCCTCTACTAAAACCATCAGCACAAATACGCGTGCAAAACCCTAGAAAAAGCTGAGGAGACTTGGACCCCTTGTTCTCTTAACAGTTATCGTGTTAAAATGCTCTTCTTGAAACTGGACGGAGTCCTTTCTTATTGTTGCCTTCCATAGTGTAATATCAGAAGTGTGACCACAGTAAATCAGTGTGTTAGATATTGAAATGCCATCACATTGTCTAACTTCCCTTCTCGTCTTTTTTAACACAAAGTATTTTTTTTCTTTAAGCTCCAAGCCCTCATCTTTGTGTCTGAGATGCTCTCCTGTTTGACAACAGCAATTTGGAAGAGTTAACTTTTATCGTTCATTCTGCTGTGTAACTTTCCCCTTCAAATTTCTTTATCTGCCCTCTGAGCTCATCTGAACTTTCATGTTCTCCCAGCATGCAGGCTTGCATTCAAAACTATGTCTAATAGACCAAATAAGAGGTTAATAAGAAGTGGCAACAGAAAGAAAAAATACAATCCCTGGTAACTGATAAGAATGACAGTGGCAGCCCTTTATTGTTTGTCTTCAAATATAGAGTTAAAGATCTTTAAAAAACTAAATTTTGACGCCTTTGAAAAGAAAGAAGCACAAAATAACAACAGGGGGTTATTGCCTGCCAGCCACAGGGGAGAAGCTCCATAATTCTTATTCTCCCTTTTGAAGGCTGTTAGAAATCTGATTCAAAAAAGCAACAGCAGAAGGAGAAAGCCTCTTGAGGCTATCGCCATTTCCTGTGATCATGCATAATGCGTTTCAAAAGTGGGTTTTTACCAATTCTGTTGATCAATTGCACCTCCTTCATATTCCCCCTTTTTTCTGCTGTGTTTACATCTGATGTGACTCAATGACAAGCGCTGTCTGAGACTGTGAAACAGACCTGTCATGTTGATTTATGGGCGCATCAAACCACGACTTGTCCAAACTGAAGCTCGCAGTTCATTAATTAGAGAGTTGTGACTTTGAAGTCAGCTTTCAGACTGTGGTTTTTAACATTTGGCTTAATTTATATGCTCTTGAATGTGGATCTCTAAGGAAAAAACTGAAATTCCCTTCTTGTCTTTGAACTTCTTTTGACCGCACAATAATCATTTCTTTGTCCAGAGTGATGCCTGCATCCCAGAGTCATTAACGCGCATTGAACTGCCACTGATGAGTAAGCCCTACTGAATTAGAAAAACAGCCAGCAAAACAAAGCTGAGAGCATTCTGCACAGTGATATCTCACAATTACATGCCTTCCCTCCCTGTGCCATTTCCATTTTAATTACTGTTAGTCCTTTAGATTTACATTTTAGACACTTTTTAATCTGTTCCCTTTTTATTATAGTGGCGCCCGTAAGCGTGCTACGGTTAAGGTTGTGTCAGCGTTTCCATTATAAACCCCCCTTTTTCAGGGGTTTGTAAGTCAGCTGGAAAAATTCACTCTGGCTAGAAACTTGGCACAGGTGGCACGATTTGCCGAAATTTCGGGGGGCAGATCGGTGCATCCTTCGAGCAGCGCCACGTGCAAAGCAATGCACAAGCGCTGCCGCTATCGCAGGACATCACGCAGCGTCTCACGCCAAGAGGCGGCTTTCTAGGATCTACCCAAGCCAGCACTGAGGTCAGATTAAACACCAAAGTCTCAAACTCCTTGTGACTAGAGGAGTGAACTCAGTGCCTTAAAAATAAATGTAATTAGAGCAAGGCTAAATTTAGGCACACCAAAACCAACAAACCAAGTTTAGGACGTGACAGGTATTTTGAAAGAAAAGTGTATTTAAAGGACGGGCAGAAACCACCCCGGCCTGTCCTGCTCCTGCCAGGGACCGCGGTGGCATCAGAGCGAACAGCCGGCGTTCCCGCGCTGCCTCTGCATCTCGGACCTCGCTTTCGGTGTCACCACCGACGCCGTCCGGTGCAGGCCCTCCTGCTAAACCCATGCCGCGAGGAACGTGCAACCAGAACCTCTCCAGCTGGAAAGTGCAACCCCAAACTCAACGTCTCTCGGTGTTTTGCGGTATTTAGAGAGGACAGCACTGTATCTGGGCCTGCTGCCTTGCCCCCTCCCCTTTACAACATAACTAACTTCCAAAAGCACTCTCCCAAGATACAAGTCTAGATGCTCGCTCCAGTACTCATACCGAACATCAAGGCATGGTCCCCTGCTATAAAATATGTGGCAGCAAGCAAATGGAAAGCACAGGAAAATACAGGCGAAAACAGGACAATAACTCTAAATCTGAAAGCTGAGACCTGATAGAGTCAGTTCAGTGGTGCAATCATTTATAAGATGAATGACAGTTTAATAGCCACTAGACAGTCCCCGGGGATCTGTGGTTTGAAAGTAAAATGGGTATTGTCTGTACCTCTTTAGGCTGTTTTCCAGCATGTTGTTGCTGTAAAAGTTGAAGCTGCAACTGTTCCTGTTGTTTCTTATAAAACTCTTGAAGCTGCTGCTACAAAGAAAAGGAAAGATGGTAAGTAACAACGTGGCGAGCCAATTCAGTGTCCCTTTTGGTGTAACACAAACTGTGATTTGAAAAATAGCATCCTTTTATCTGTAATGGTCTGACCTTTAGTTTGAAACTCGACAATAAATTCAGTGCACACTGACTATTCTTGGCATTATCGTTTGAAAAGTAATCTCCAAAATGAACTGATGAAAAACATACCATTTTCTACACAAACTAATTAAAATAAGGCAAGGAATGACCTTTGATTGTAACAACAAAGCCAAAATGCCCTTGCTGAGAGAGCCTGGCGAATCTCTGTTGTGAGACACACATGCTTTCTAAATGATAGGGTTTGACTGTATTAAGTGTTGTTCAATACATGCATAGACATCCTGGGAAATGCTCTCCTCCTCCCTGCTCCCCAGATGTGCGCCGGGCAGGCAGCGCTCCGGCGCGGGCTGGAGGGAGCACACAAGGTCGGGCTGGGGTGGATGCTGACACCCGCCCGGGATTCGCGAGCCCCCGCTGTGCCGAACCCTACGACAACGGAGCCTCGGGGCTCGTCGGTGGCCGGCTTTCAGCTGAAAAAGGACCACGGGCTGTGAGAAACACCGACACGCCGCACGGCACACGCTGGCTGAAATCAAACAGAATGAGGCTTGCAAACCTCTTCACTTTTATTGCTACCATTTCCATACTCCCTTATGGTTCCAGATGGATGTAACGAGGTCTAAAATGGGAAGCATCGCCCTACCACCTTGTTTGTTCCAATTAATCAGGGCACACCATGCTTTCTGGGGGATGCAGGCAAAAAGCAACAGGGACATCTGCCGAAGTCCTGACACTTAAATATGCATCTGTATTATTTAGCTGATCTTGGAAACACTCCTAGCATTGCTCCCTGGATTTGTTTCCAGTAGCTATTTCTAGAATTAAAAACAAAAGAGCAGTCAGTTCATCTCAGAGCACGGCTGCCCTGAGGTACGGACCCGAGACATGGGCAGCTTCTTTCCCTGGGAACATTTCGGGAGGCGAAGCCCTCCGGTATCTACAGGGGCCTCCGGAGCAGCTGTTGGGAAAACAATTACCTGTTGAAGCATGAGTGCCTGCTGCTGTTGGAGCAGGACTTGGAGTTGCTGGGGAGTTAGCACTTGTTGCTGGAGGATCTGCTGCATTTGCTGGGGAGTGATCACTTGAGGTGTCATCATAGCCACCGACACTGGAACCTGAAGCGCAAGAGGAGAGCAAAGAGGGGGTCAGAGCGCATCGCCGCAGCTCCCCGGCGCGCACCGCCCACCGTCCCCGCGCCGGGGG